CACTCATCGGACGGTGCCAGCCCCAGCCAGCGGAAAGTTCGGGACCCCGAAATGTACCTAGTTAAAGTGCGCTTTTTGACAACGGGATGGTCAATGTAGTGGCAGCCTACTTCCCAGCCTTCAGATCTCATCCAGTCCATTACGCCTCCAGTGGGCACTCAGGTGCAGCAGCAGGACTGTAACCGGCTAAGTATCAGTATAGAATTTATATAGATGTTCCGGTGATTTTCTGAGGGCTTTTAGGGCCATTTTGGACTCAGAAACAGCTAAAAACCAAATATATTCCGCCCTCCGGTCGCATACGCTATAGGATCGAAACCGCCGGGTTTCGAGATATTACTAGATTTCTAGGGTATACAACCTAGAAGTTTGTATAGACTTCCGCCACGTCATTCTACTAGGTAACGACACCTAGAAGTAGATCAAGACTGTACTAATCTAAGCTAGGCTAGAACCACTAGTATAAGTGGTGCATCAAACATACAATTGGATCTCTTTCCATTTGGAACATTTCAAGAACGCAGTCAGGATTCTGTTAGTTGGTATATTGACTTCAGACTTGATCTCAAGGATTTGCGGTACCGTGTGTCATTATCAGTCCCGTTTCATTGGTATCAGAGGGAGTTCCGATACTTAAGCGGTTACGCTACAAGGAAACATGGGTGATCAAGCAACTTCAATTCTGGCTGCGGAGATGGCGGTACAAGTGCAACAAATGGCGGCGGCCATGCAAGCAGTACAACCGGAATTGGCAAGGACACAAGAGCGGCTTCTACATGGAGAAGGCCAACGCCAAGAGTTTCGAACAACGACGGGGGACGAATTTAACGGGGAGCGTGCAAAGTTTCCAACACCGAAAGGGTATGGCGGCTCCAAAGTGCCAGGTCACTGCACTTTTCCACTGCAGTGCAGTGGAAAATTTTCTCTTTGACTGCGAACAATATTTCAAGGCAGTTCCTATGGCGGATAAGAAGGCTGTTCCGACCTCTGTGCGGAAAGGACCCCTTGCAAGTAATCAATGACATCCTGACCTTTGTAGGAAGCCAGGATGAGCTGTTCCTGTGGCCATCTAGCATGGGCAGGCATCTTATCTCGCCAGCAAGGGACGCTCAGCTGATCAGACAAGCTCACTGCCTGGTCACCTTAGCAAAAGCAATCGCCTCCTGCCTTTCTGATGATGTCTGGATGTAACGGCACGACTGCGCACCGACTCCCGGCTGCGCGCC